AAGGGCTATTGATTCTCTTGACATCCCGGTAATGAAGGATGTTCTTACGGCTTCAATTGCCACTTACCACACCAAGAAGATCATAGTCTCCGATCCAACTAAGTTTCTTCACTATGGACTAATCCCTGAGTCCATGTATAGGTGCGTCACGCCCCACAGCACGATCATGGCGGACTACAGCACCAGAACCCCCTTGCCTCCTAGGGTTCTTTCTGAGGAACAACGTGCTGCTCTTGAGGCCTTGGATCAGCCTGCCATCCGAGGCAAGAGGGTGAGCAAAAAGGAGAAGGCGGAGAAGAAAGAAACCGCACCACAAAAGGAGAGAAAGAGAAGGTCCTCCAAACGCAAATCCGAGGCAGAGGCACCTTCTCAGTCTAAATTGAAAAAGGTAAAGAAGATGGCTAAAAGAGCCAAAGGGTCTCCTTCTTCTGAATCAGAACCGAATGCACCATCAGAAACAGAAGCTGCTGATCCTCAAACCGAAACTACACCCGTTCAGTCTCCACAACAACCATCCTCACCAGTATCTCCTCATATTCCCAAATCACCCTCCCCACTTAAATCTCCCCAAATTACCAAATCACCTTCTCCTCCTAATTCCCCAAAACTTCCAACCCCAACCCAATCACCTAAACAGAAGGTCACACTTTCTGTTCCAATATCTATCCCCGAAACCACAACAGAACCTAATATTCCCTTCTCTGTTTCTCAACCTTCATCCTCTATCTCTACGCCCATTATCACCGAATCTGTTATCATCACCACTTCCCAACCACCAGTAATGGTTAATGTATCTGATACGGGGGCTGCTACTATGGTTGAAACCCCGGTCATCAACCTTCCCTCATCTCCTTCTCCATCCTCCAACTCCGGTGCTACCTTAGGGGGTGATGATGAAGACTTCGATTCCATCTATTATAGCCCCTACCGGATTCCTACAGACACCGATGCAGATACCCCTGTGTCAAATCAGCAGCTTCAGGAAATTCACGCCAAACTTGACAGTCTGCTAGCTGACAGTAAAGCTTATGGGGGTGCTGTGCTGAAAGCTTTCATAGAGTCTGCGATCCAGACTTACACTGAAGCCTTGGATCGTTCAACTGACGCCGTAAATAATTCAGCAGCTTCATGCTCCAAAGCCACTCAGGAAGTTTCTGAGGTTGTTCATACAACTCAGATCTTTCTTGATTCCCTCAAGGCTCATGCTGACACTAATGCGTCCAAATTTCAAGCGTCAGTAGACTCTTTTTCAGCTACCCTTCAGGGAGAAACCACCAAATTTGAGGCTCTGCGTGCTGACCTCAAAACTGAATCCACCTCATTCCTCAAATCTTTGGATTCACGTTTTGCCTCTCTGGCAGCCGAGAGCACCCTGAAGGAAGATCTTGTAAAACACCAGGCAACCATTGACTTACAAAAGATCCAACTGGCCCAGGCACAACAGGAAATAACTTTGCTACAAACTCAGCGGGCAGTTCTTCAAAGTTGCGCTGGTGACGTTAAGAATATGTTAACAAGTGTTCTTGACACCCATGATCCCTTCCTGACCCTCACTATTCGTCAGCATCTCCAGGCAAAACTCCTTCCTGCAATTAATATCTTAAGTGAAATGAAGGGTGTCTCGGAGAAACTTGTTCTTCCGAGACAAGGGGGAGAGGAAGGTGTGTCCAAGACAGAACCGAAGGGTAATGTAGCTTCGGGTTCTGGTAAACAAGTCCTAGTTGAGAGCGAATCAGAATCAGACGAAACTATCACTGAAGCTCTTCAACGCAAGAAAAGGGACAAAGAGCTTGATGAAACTTTAAGGATAGCTCGTGAGGCCGAGGCCAAGGAAAAAAAATCAGGGAGGATGAGGAGGCCATTCAAGCCAAAAAGACTCCGTTCCCAGATTGGGATAGAGACACACTCATCACTCAAGCGATTGAGTTTCCTTCTATTTATTGGTTGGAACCGATTGCATCTTTGAGTGTGAAAATTCAAAAGACTCGCAGTTCGACATGCCCATAACGCGCAAAGCTTTCACATTTCATTGCTTTGATGTCACTGCCAATGTCCCTCATCCGAACCTGAAGGTTGACAGAGAGCTCATCGATTTCTATCTGAAATACGGTCAACCGCAGTACTTGACATGGAGTGCTCAGAAAATTGTTAAAGTCAAGGTACTGAAACCGACACAGGCTGGGAAATTTGTAAACGTCAATTTCAAAATCAACAGAGGAACGGCCAACACCGAACATCTTATTTCTCTGGCAGATCTTCCCAGTCTGAACCCGCATGATTGGATCTTGCTATACAACATTCTTCTCTCCAACCAGAGAGAATATGAACCAATTCTTTCACATCTTAAAAGAATGTTGGCTTCCTACGTCCATGAGCTCGCCACTATGGATCAGGAAATAGCAAAAGTAATGAACAAGAAACCGACTGTCAAGCCCACTTCCAAGACCGGAGATGTTCATAAAATGAAGTTAGGGCAAATTGATTCTTCCAATCTGACGGTTATGTTCACCAGGGGCGACAAGCATAAGTTTCTGTTTGCTTTGGTAGACAAGCATCTGTTTTCTACAGAGTGTCTGGAGCATATCATCAATATCATTCACCGATGCAAACAGAACTCAACAGCAGACAAGAAGAACTTTACTGACATGCTTCGTTGGTATATTACCTTCAGGCATCATATTCTGGCTTTAATACCAAAGATTTTTGAAACGGTAAAGAAGCCCTCTGCTGTGAAAAGAGAGTGAAGGTCTCGCTCCAAATTGACGCAAAGGGGGAGATTGTTGGGCTTTGTAGATTGCGTCTTTTGGGCTCGACTGATTATGCTATTTTGTATTCCGGTTTGGGCCTGTCCAACCGTGAACCTTTTATGTTTTGTATATAAGTTTACGCTTGCATGCATATTAGGTTAAGGTTTTTAGAGATCTGGGTATCGCGATACATCTTGACAACAACAGGTTTCTTTGATCGTTCTTGTAACCTTCCAATCCTCTACAGTTGATGTTCTTAATCGAGCTCTTCTGAGGATTTTGTTTAATCATTCGACACATTTGATTCCATCTTGTCTTGTTCTTATTATTGTGTTTATATCGTCGTTGTTTACTTACTTGTTCAAGATCTAATCGATCTTTATAGATTAAAAGATTGTTTAATCCCAACAGATAGCTTCCTAAGTGCTCGTTTAAAGGTTGCTAGAGGTTCTACCACTACTAGAATATAGACCTTTAATTACACGCAAACCATGACACACACTGATTTATGATATGCAAATGTGTGTGTCCTAAAAATAATGTCATCTCCCCTAAAATCCGAAGGATTTAGGATGTGTGTCATGTAAGCTTTTATATTTTTTATAATGAAAAGCTTGTTCATCCATTAAATGAATCCTCCTTGATAGCTAAGCTGGGAAAACGAAATCTCCCAAAATTTTGAAGTACCCCGCCTTATCTGTTATCTACCTCTTCACTCTCTCCTCCAGATCTCGATCTATCGGATATTCATAATTCTTGTTCAATTGAACCTTCACTATATAACACTGTAATCAGTAGCCCCTCCCCTTAGATACAATTTCTAGGGATCGAATCAATATTTCCCCCCATAACTTCGTTGAAGGTATGTTAATATCATCTAAAACTTAGTGGGCTCGATCGCACCCCAAAATATGAGATTCTACCTACATTAATCAAGACTACAGTTTAAAAAGCGGCAACATATGTCTTTCAAACATGAGGTTTTATGAAATTTCAAACAATGTCTCTCTCAAATCGACATTATTCCTATATAAACATACATGGTGTTAAATTATCTTTTCTACTGTTCAAATATTTGCTTAGTTATGTCGATTTTACCCTTGACTTGGTGATTCTCCCCCTCATGTTGACTTTTATTCTCTGAATAGTACTTAATTTTGACAAATTGGTTCAAAACACAGACAAATTGGCAATTTAGGGTTACCTATTACTTACTGTAGTTGACAAATCTGTAGTTCAACAGATTCTTTTTCCAATAGAAAAATTGTAATTCTGTTTGGAATGATGGAGCAACATAATAGGAAGCTAGAATGTGTGTGAATTCTAAATGGCAAGAAACATTATCCATGTGGCTTCTGACTTTCTATTTATCTTATACATGCAAGAAACATTATCCGTGTAGCTTCTGACTTTCTATTTGTTTCATGTATATGTATTTCCACAGGTAATATAAGATTGTTATAGACTTGTTTAAAGATGGAAAATTCATCCATACCTGGTATCCTAGAGAAGGTAAGAAGTGATGGAGTTCTATCCTTTATTTGTGGAGATTTTTTATTTGGGTTATATTTATACCATATTTAGCACATATTGAGGTGTTCATGTTTGAATTTACAAATGAATGGGAAGGACAAAGACTATAGATGTATGGAAACTTCAGACCTATTAAACGAATTAAGAAAAGAGGCATTTGAACTTGATAATGACCTTGAGTTGATATTATCCAATACTGTTCTACAACAACTTGATGATGCAGCTGGTGACATGTCTGGATTGATATAGTTTCCTATTTTATCTTTGATTTAGTTTCCTTTTCTAGGCTTAAGATTGTATATGATCTTGAGGCTTGTGGCTAATCTTCAAGTTTTATTCCCTAATTTGTAGGAAGGTTGATGAACTGAAAACAGAACTGAGCAAATACATAACCTATAACGAAACAACAACATATCCTGTAAGCACGATATATTCAACTTTAATTTAAATTGGATTTTTGAGATGAATTTTACGGATTCTATTTCTCTTCAAGAAGCTAAAAGATCTAAACTCCGAACAATTCTTGATATGCCAAGTTTAGCTCAAAATCCTTGTTATCTCAGTTCAAAGTATCTTTAGCTTCAATAGTTTAAGTCTTACATATTTTTTGGTTTTGTAGGTTGGAAGCTTGTTGAGTAGCATTGATTTAGGAGATGAGATGGAAGCCTATGACTAAGTGAAAGAGTTGTACTTGATAGTAATTGTCTCAAAAGGAACAACATGTTGCAATCGACTGGAAATATAAAAGAGCTAATGGAAGCAAAAGCCTTGTTGGGTGCCATGAAATCTGAGCAGGCTAGATTGGTTGAAGAGCTACAATATATTCACCAAGAGGATGACAGGCTGGTAGAAACCTTAAACAACACCAACAATGCACAGACACATGAGAGCCATAATCTAGAAAACCAAAACATGTCACCTGTCACTGACGACAGCATGATGGATTTACAAGCCAGATTGGACAATGTGGGTAAATAAAACAAGAAGCTAAGAAGACCAAAAAACCTGCCACCTATCATTAAAAAGATGTCTGAAGAAAACTAGAAGCTAAGAAGATTTATAGAAGAAAAAGACGACGAGGTGTATACGCTGCAATACTGAGTGGGAGAGGGCATGTGTAGAGCTCACAAGCTTTCTGTTAGATGTTTCTAAATCTCTAAAACATGCAATTGGTCAAATAGAAGCTATTAGAGCTCAAAGAAACTAATAAATTGGTGCAAGTGCCTTTAGACGTAATGGGATGTACACATCAAATGCAAGAAAACCACTTGTTAATGGTACAGCTAGGGGTGTTCACGGTCCGATTTTTTTGGTTTTAGATCAAACTGAAGCCAAACCGTTAGTAACGGGGTTTTGGCAATCAAAAACCAAAGCTGAACCATTGAAACCTAAAACTAAACCAAACCGATCCGATACGGTTTCGAAAGTTTGAAGCCGCAAGCCAAACCGTAAAGAGAAAAACAAACCGTGAAATTAAATTGATGCCCGGTTTGGTCGGTTTCTCGGTTTCAAACTAAACCGTGAACAACCCTGGGTGCAGCGTATAATAATTGAACTTGTTTCAATAAATAACAAACTTGATAACATGAAGGCTTATTTTGAAGACTTGGATCATTTTTTGACTAAAAGATGGTTACCTGTACAAAAAAGTGCCATTGGATTCATTGAGTTTCTAAGATGTCATTCCTTATGAAACTGAGCTTATAAAATGTATGCCTGCCAATAAAGAATAATCCAATGATGTAGAATGTGTTAGTGGACTTTTTGGTGAACGTAAAAAGAAAAAAACAAACACTAAATAATGATAGAACAAGTGAAAAATGAGAGGGGAGCTCCAACATGGAGAATAGTTTCGAAGCTCTTGATCTTGTGTTCCATGGGTATGCTCTCTCTCTAACTATCTGATATGTTTTCCTTCATTACCTTTTTATCATTTCTTTATATGCTTTTTTTGTAATTTTGTTTGCAGTCACAAGGCATTTGGGATTGTAATCGGGAGAGAGAAGGATGACCAAATTAAGATTATAATGTTATATATATAATCACTCTTCTTTTGACTGTTGATTTGGTTTCTTATTTATTTATTTATGATATCAACATTTTATTTCCAGATTTTGAAGGTACAGAACGGATGGTGGTAGTGGCAGTTGAAGGTTATTTGTTCAAGAAGGCTGATTTTGATGAGAAATTCAATGTTTTGATCAACATAAAAAAAAAATCATATATATGAATGACACTATGAGGGTCATGGAAGGTCCACTAGAGGTTTTTTCTTATTTTAAAAGTTTCAAGGTTTTTATCATCAAAATTAGACTTCAAATGTATTATATTATGTATGAAGCATCTAGTGGTTTGGGTAAACCTTGCAAAATAAATGAGGAATTTTCAAGCAAATATACAACGCGGTTGTGTTTGTATATGATGAGACTCTACAGGAAAATTGTAGTTACTTTTGTGCTAAGGTACATATCTGTGAAAAGATGGCATCTTCTATGGATTCTTATAAAGGAAAGGTTAGTTGATCATACATTACTATATATATTGAGCATTGTAACTGCTCTTTCTTCAATATTACTAAAAAAAATTATGTTTTGCACGGTGGTAAATCAGGTGGCTCTGGTTTTGATGAAGTCCCATCATCACCTAAGTCCCCTTTAACACCTAAGAAAACTTTTGAAGTTTTTTCAAACATATGACCATATCCTTAATATTCTGATTCTATTGTGTCGTGCATGCAGTTGAATATAAAGAAGGTTTCAATGTTGGGTAGTCATTGAGAATACGTGTGGACCCCCTAAAGGGGTACATGTGCCGTCTCATGGCAATTTGATATTCAGATATCACAGTCAAGCTTGATTCCCAACACAAGATTCTTACAAGTGATCTTTTTTTAGTCATATTTTGTTTTTCTTGGGATTTAGGAGGTAATATTTTTGTATAATATTGTGTTTGCCCTGCAGTTAAAGCTGAGTATCGTGCTGAGGCTAAAGGAAACAGCTTTGGTGTTTCCATTGGATATAGTGGTTTAAACTTTGTTCTTTATATTTCATCTGCTACCCCATAAACTTTATCCTAACATTTTTTTGATTCTGCAAAGCCATTTGATTGCTCGGTGAGCCTGGGAGTTCTCAAGGTGGGAAATTATATTTATGGTTAAAAGAGTTTTTTATCTTTCTTTGTTTTAAATATTGTGTGTCATCTTTGGCTAATATAATATTTCATCCTTTAAAGGATGGATGGATGGAGGAGCAGCATCTGAGCCTCAAGGTGATGGGGGTGGAATATTGGAGTCCAAACTACTGAATGGTTTTTATCATACATAACTTATGTATAGAAAGTAGAAACACAAATGCTCTTATGTATTTATCTGATGATTTGAGTATTTTGTATATATAAGAGTTCTTGGGCACCTTTTCCTGCAGCAGGCTCATCGGTTTGTTCATATCTTAAGCTACTTTCTTTAAATATTTTCGTAATATGATAATTCATTTCTTGGTATAGCTTCAACCAGAATCCAATTATCTAGATCCTTTTTGGTTCCATGGATAATGATTCCAGTAAAGGTAGGGATCGATATATTGTGTCTTGTTATTTCATAATCATATCGTAATGTTTTAAATTCATCTTATTTCATGATTGGAAGATGGTGGAGGTTCTGCATGGGGTGCAGCTGCTAGTGAAAAGAAAGAAGTTGGTGACAGGTGGGGAGTGAGTTCAAGTGGTGATAAAATTGAAAATTCATGACTACTTTCCACCCTCTGTAGGGAAAACCTCTTAATAACAATGTATAATTAGATCCTCTTAATATCAATGTATTACAATATTCTGACATGATGTTATTGGATGAAATTGATTGTTTTGGTATATATTTGTTTCCATATTTTTGTATTATGCATAAATGAGTATCATAAAGGCATGTCGTAAATGCATATCATAAATGGTTGTTGAAGATTATGACACGCAAATGCATGTTATCATCATTTATGACACGGGCTTTAATGATACGCAATTCGTGTTCTAAATGCGCGTCATAAGTTTACGACACGCAAATACGTGTCGTCTTCCTTTATGGCAGGGCCTTCCTTAACACGCAATGTGTGTTGTAAATGCGCATCGTAAGTTTACGACAAGTAAAAGTGTGTCGTCTTCCTTTATGACAGGGACTTCTTTGACACACATTTGCGTGTCATCTGTGGTTTTTATGACACGCAATGTGTGTCATTAAACGGTATTTTTGTAGTAGTGTACGAGTCAGGTATGCGAATTTATACTTGCTGATCTACCTTGCCTGAACCCGTACGATTGGATTTTGCTGCTCAATATATTGCTCAAGGATGAACAAAAGTATGAACCCATTGTTTCTTATCTCAAGAGAATGTTAGTTTCGTACATCCAAGAGATGGGAAAAATGGGCGTTGCAATTGCAACAATTCTACGAAAGAAGCTGACTGTGTTCCCTAAGGAAGCTCTAGAAGATTTTGACAAAATGAAGCTGGGGATAATACGAAAGGAAGGGTTGTGCATGGATTTTCAAATGATAGAGCGAATAGATGCCGATTTCCACAAAGTTTGTTTATATCTTGTTGATAAGAATCTTTACTCCACTTCTTGCCTGCAGTACATTTTGGAGTTTATGGATAAAAGCAAACGGAATCGTAAAGGAGATAAGAAGTGTTTCTCCGATATGATCCTTTGGTATATCCAGGTTCACAAGGCCTTGCTGAGCATCATTCCGAAGCTTTTTGAAGTTTAAAAGCGAACTCACAACGAAGTCTCCTGCCTCAATTGACGCAAAGGGGGAGACTGTTGGGTCATACATGTTGTGTCATTGTGTATTAAGTATTTAGTTCGTTTTGTATAATGGGTTGGGTCTATCCACCCATTTATTTGTTATTAGGGTTTTACTATTTAAAGTGCATGCATGTACCATATCTTGTAATCGTCAATTCTGTAAAACCCTAAACAGCCATTACAGTAGCAGTTCTTCATCGAGCTCATCTAAGGTTGTGCTTATTAATCATTCAACACAACTTGATCTTCTTTATTTGATTTTGGTTCTTTACCTGTTTGAATATATTCAATCATTCAAGTTTTATACTCAACAATATTATAATTTTATAAACATATATTTATATTTGATCATAATTTTTATAAATATTCAGTTATAAACCTTTAGTTATATATTCTCATAACATTATACATGTTTAGTTATAAAATTTATAACTGTTCATATATTTTCCAATGTTCATTTATGAATAGTAATCGCCAATCTTTATCTATGAACATTAATTGTAACATAATTTCTTGATGTGTGATGATTGATGTTTGTTGATTCATGCAACTAAAAATTTTGTTCTTTACGATTGATAGTTTAATTTTTCATTCCTATTTTATTATGATTGATTTCAAATAAATGTTATAGTTTATTAACATCATTAATAAACTATTATTTTTAAGTAAAATTGTTATTTTACCATCATATCATTTTAGTTTTAAATTGATCTAATAATAAAGATGCTATGGTTTTATAAATAAATTAGGTTTTATGTTGAACTCACCTCTAT